TACGCTCACTTGAAATACTATTCATTCAGATATCCCCTAAAATTTCAGAATAATGAAGCGGCTGCACGATATCGAAAACGACAAAGGGAAATAAGAGAAGAAAGTGAGAACGAATTGAAGAAGTTACTTAGGAAGAACAAAGAGCTGAAGCAACAGATTGAGCAAATGCAATCGGAAGTAATTCGACTCAAATGTGCCGTGATATCGATGCGTACACAAGACAGCAATTGTTAATATCGCAATACTGCCATTTCTCAGGCTNGTTCACTTGTTATTCAATGGCTTTTCCAGTGTAATACATGATCTATTTCATCTCATATACAGATGCATTCCAGCCATTCAAAAGTACTCATTTTCACTCACATTCAGCGCTTCGAAAATGCTCTGCTCATAGCACTTTTATTATCGAGAACTATTCAGAGCAAATTCATAGTCAGCATTTGCATCTTTGCAAAAATATCTTACGTTTCCAGAGTTGAAAGTACAACATTATGCGGATGAATGACGCCCAAGAATTGCTTAAATTCGAAACGTTCGACTAGTAGAATGATAACGTTTCAAAATTACATTGATACGAGTGATTCGCATATTTGATAAGCCGTTGAAGGCTGTTGGTTGCATTCACTTACGTTTTTCAACTATACTTTTTGTGCCTTTTAGCACGTACGTAGGTGTGTGGGTGAATGCCGTGAAATCTAAAATTAAACAGAGAAATGCTACGCTGAATGCTTTCATTCATCGTTTAGGCTGCCATTACGTTTCACACTCGAATATAGTTCTGTTAGGGATACATGAAAATAGTCCATAATTAATATTGTTTATACTGTTAAATAATGATTAATGTTATGCTGAACGATTAATTCATCGAAGAATGTTCACTTACTTATCTACAACAATAATGTACATTCCCTTCTTATGCTGCACTAAACAAGCTTGTGTTGTTTATTCATATCATATTGAATTATTTCAACGTCACGAAATGTATCATCAAGCTATGAAGATAATACGATTCGAGCTCAAAAGTGAAATTGGGACTGCGAACGGTTTTGACTGGAAAGGTTTTGCGTGAATGGGTACTTACTGAACGTCGACTCTAGCAACATTTGGATGAGTATGAGCATCTGAAGAATACGAAATCATCCGATGAAATCATGGTGGTGGGAGAGACGAATGGATTGAACAATGAACTGATGGGAGGGGGTAGAGCTCTAATCCAGTCTCTGTGCCGAGACAATTCAGCCGAAATGCGTGGATTTATGATACACTTGATCACTGCTGCAACAGTGATCACTTATGATTAGGATCTGTAAATTAACACATATATACACTGACTCGTTGATCACAGCTGTTACATACAGCAGTTTTTTTTGTTGCTTGTAATCGTATAACAATTCATATTCTTGTTGAGTGATCACTTATATATTTGATTAG